ATCAAGATAGTTTAAAAAACAATTATTTTACCTATATAGTTATCTGGATAGATATCAATCCTCCTGTAGAGTGGCAATACTGACTCACATTCATTGTCTGTCATTAATAATTTGAACAGAAGGAAACTATTTCGCAGTTTGTATTTCATAACTCCCGGTTTACATGTGTTCTAGTGTTATACAACATAAGAAAGTGCATTCTGCGTTTATGCCCTTTCTTGCTAATTTCAACAGAAAGGAAAATGTATCATATAACATGCATTAGCAACTATAATGTTGCGAGGTTAACACACAAAAATGATAAACATGTAAGACCTTTAACTACTGAAAAAAAGAGTAGATGACAGGCAAACTATGCAATGAAGTCTCAGATGAGGCTTTCCACATCACAATTAGAAAAGAAAATCTGTGATAGAATAATAGGAAAAAAGCTAAACCTGATCTGGAGATCAAGATCTACAAAACTTACCCAAGAGCTTACATGAGGGTTACAGATTTTACATTCAGCTGTTTTAGATACAGCTCGTCAACTGTTACATAGCGGAGCTAAAAAAACTTATAACAAGTCCATAATAAGTTCTTAGATTACATAAATATTCTTAAATTACATAATATTTGAAGTCATTCAGCAGCATTAAACATTCCAACGTAAATACTGACTACTGAGTGTTAAGATCAGTATTAAGAGCTTAAATATGACCAGGTTAGATATACATTTAGCCACAATTTATTTACTTATAACTAATAATACTGTAGGAAATGATAGGCATGAAGAAACGTTGAATAAAGAAAGAAAAGGATGTACATAGTTAGCTACTTAATAATGACATTAAACTGTAACTTCTAAAGAAAGGGAGTAACAAAACTAACCAGGAAATGCATAATTGCTTTAGGTACAGAGTCCTCAATATTTTTTCTCACGATGTCAAAATATGATTTCAACAACAGTTTTGTGATGCCTATCTCTATAGCCTCCTGCTCAGTCTGAATGTCTGAAGGTTTCAGGACAACTGGAGGCTGACAAATAAATGATACAAGTTAATAGCCATAAACTGATATATGACAGACAAAGAACAGCCAAAGTTCAAGGAGCTAAATACTTGAAGTTACATAAGCTTACCTCTCTTAGTTGGATCATAGACAGTGAATGATCTATGTGATTAACAGGTGGAGCATAAGACTTGCTCGAAGAACTCTCCCTCATAGGTGCACGGTTTTCACTTCCACCAAAAATTGATGAAACCCAACTTGAACCACTTGTAGTTCCTGATAGATTCCACCTCTCAGGTCTAATAATTTAGTATACATAATGTTGAACTTGTGGGGGGCCTTGTGAAATTTATCCCATGAGGTTTAGTACTACTTATATAAGACAAAATTTTATCCAATTCAGTATAAACGCACTTTCTTAATCTTTCAAGATTCACGTATAGTTAAGAACACATATTTTCATAGGTAAAATGTCAAAACTAAATGATTGTTTTCTTTTATTTTCATTATGACCAGTATAGGGACAATCATCAAATGAGTTCAGAGTTCTAAATTAGATAGCCATCATATATTCTTAGACTGACCTAATTGATACGCGTGACAACGAGAGAGCATCAATTTTATATAACTTACCAATTTTTTCAGGTTCAGAAGAATGACGAACACCCTGTTCATTGAAACATACGATGAAAAGAAACCAATATCACTAAAGGAAAAAATATTACTATAATTTTATCCAATATCACTATAATTTATCTAGAAGAAATTTAGCTGCTTGCATCCCAATACAAATTTTATCATGGGAACCAAATGTGAAAAACAAAGGTTGCAAAGAATGAAAACGCACTAAACCTGATCGGCAGCAATCCCATTTGCACCAGAGCGACCCAGAATAGCTCGAGATTTAAGAGTTCTTTCAGATGATTGAAGCTTATCAGAATCTACACCATCCTGCATTCAAAGCATGTGGTAACAGTGCTATAATTAGAATAAAACCCAACGTGTCCATGCATACATACAAATGTAACACCC